GTGATCAATTTTTGAAGGAGGAAAAATATCATACTTTATAATGGCCATAACTCCTTAAATATTGACATTTCGGGGTATTCAGCTATAATTTGTGATCACTTTTTGAAAGAGGAAATACAGGATACTTTAAAATGGCCATAACTCCTTAAATATTGACATTTCGGAGTTTTTAGCTATAATTTGTGATAAATTTTTGAAGGAGGAAAAATATCATACTTTATAATGGCCATAACTCCTTAAATATTGACATTTCGGAGTTTTTAGCTATAATTTGTGATCAATTTTTGAAGGAGGAAAAATATCATACTTTATAATGGCCATAACTCCTTAAATATTGACATTTCGGGGTTTTCAGCTATAATTTGTGATCACTTTTTGAAAGAGGAAATACAGGATACTTTAAAATGGCCATAACTCCTTAAATATTGGCATTTCGGTTTTTTTTAGCTATAATTTGTGATCAATTTTTGAAGGAGGAAAAATAGCATACTTTAAAATGGCCATAACTCCTTAAATATTGACATTTCGGGTTTTTAAGCTATAATTTGTGATCACTTTTTGAAAGAGGAAATACAGGATACTTTAAAATGGCCATAACTCCTTAAAGATCACGCTTTGAAAGAGGAAAAAAGCATAGTTTAAAATTGCCAACTCCTTAAATATGGACATTTCGGGTTTTCTCTCCAAATGCAAACACCTCAATATATTTGTCGGTGACCCCAAGAACTATATATAATTTTGATCAGAGTAAAATTTTAAGTCGATTTAGCTATGTCCGTCTGTTGAAATCACAATGGAGTCCACATTATAAATCTAGCTTTGAAATTTGGCACAAAGGTTTATATTATATGCAGGCTTGTTATTATATGACGGTACATCCTGATTATCGGTATTTTCAAGGTTACTGTCACAATTTTCTAATAAATTAGATGAATCTTGACAATTGGGGTTCTCTGAATGTCTGTTCTCAGCAAAAATGATCACAACAGATCCACGTGTTGGTACAGAACTTTTAATATTTTCCACCATTCGGAAGGAAGTTGAAAAATCATCCGGAAACTACCACTTAAATGAAAACTGTTTTATGAGCTGTCATAGGCTGCAGTACCCATTACGAACTTCACATACGAAATTTGAAATAATTCTGGTAAATAATGTCGCTGAAATCATGAAAATACCGAACATCGGGAGATACCGTTATATGTGGGACATAGAAAACGTGGACCTGCATACAAAAATGTTTATCATAGGCCATTACGAAAGTCAAATACGAAATTGGAAATAATTCCGGTAAATAATGTCGCTGAAATCATGAAAATACCGAACATCGGGAGGTACCGTTATATGGGGGATATAGGAAGACGTGGACCTGCATTCAAAAATGTTTGTTATAGGTTGTAGTACCCATTAGAATCTTCCAATACGGAAGTTGAAACGATTCCGGTGCATGATGTTGCTGAAATCATCAAAATACCGAATATCGGGAGGTACCGTTATATGGGGAATATACGAAGACGTGGATCTGCATACAAAATAGTTTGTCATAGGCTGTAGTACCCATTACGAACTTTAAATATGGAATTTGAAATAATTCCGGCAAATACTGTCCCTAGAATCATGAAAAAACCGAATATCGGCAGGTACCATTATATGGGGGCTATACGAAGACGTGGGTGGACCTGCTTACGAAATTGTTTGTCATAGGCTGCAGTACCCATTACGAACTTTAAATACGAAATTTGAAATAATTCAAAATTTCAGCCTTCTATCTCAATTTGTTCAAAAGATAGCGAGACAGACGGACATACGGACATCCCTAAATCGTCTTAGAATTTTACGCTGTTCCAGAATATATATACTTTGTAGGGTCAATTATAAATATTTCGAGGAGCTACAAATGGAGTGACAAAGTTAATGTATCCTCCATAGAATGGTGGAGGCTATAAAAACGATGAGAAAATTATTAAAACTTGTTGGCCACTTTTCTGCAAATAGTTAGTGGAAATATAGATTTTTGCCCTTTGGCGATTTAAAGTGAACTCGATCTTAGTTTGTTAAAAATAACTAGTTAGGACGAAATCAGATATTGACTTCGAGAGCGAAACGGATTGACATGGATAGATCGACTCCAAAAGTCCTTAAATGGGTTTCGTCCAAACAGAAATATTTTGGCCGTATCCAATTATATACATTCTCTGGAACTAAATGGATTAGGTTATTTTTTATTTCAGGTAAAGCCAAAGTAGTATCCTTTATATTTCAAAATGGACCAAAATAATATTTACATTTAGAAGCTCGAAGGAAATATTACGATGTATCCAGTTTTGACTATATGGCATTCTCCCCTAGATTAATATGAGGAAATACATTTTTTAAGTTTATGAACATTTATATGGGGAGGTACTAAAAAAGCGTGGATAATATTGCTCATTTTCGATCTAGATATAAGTTTCTCAAAAATATTATTACTTTGTGCCTATTTTAAACCGAATAGCATACTTCCCTCCAGAGCTATCGTGTACACTAGCCAGTCAGAGAGACAAACAGGAGAACGAGATCGCTAGATCGAAAAGATTTCGTCCAAAGACATATAGGGTCTGGAAACGTTATTTTAAAATGGAGCCTTTGTCAAATGATATATTTTTGCAGGCATAAGTGATGAGAATACATAGATGATATTTTCATCGAGTGTAAATTGACTTAGATGAATTTTGCTCTGTTCCGGGACCTACAAGTATCTACTAGTTTTGAAATATTTTTCGATATCATAAAAGGATAATCCGTCATTGTAGTAGAAAATTTTAATTTTTTTCAGTTCTGAGACAGTGCAATACTTTTAGGACTTGTGTATCTCGAACTTGACCAGCCCGCAGACAAAAGACTGATCTGTGAAAAAGTTTAGCTTCCTTTACACAGATACAGGGTGAGATAACAAATACTGCAAAAAAGTCAAACGCCATAAATTTTACATTTTTTTTAAATTTTATTGAATGAAACAAAAAAAGTCGGAAATAGCATCAAATTTTAGAATAAGTTTAGATTTGTTAGAATTGGTCGCCTTTGGCACGAATTATGGCCTTTAAACGGCCAATGAAAACGTCATACGCTGCCCGAAAGTTGCTCTGCGGTATTTTGGTCCATTCCCGGCGAAGCGCTTGCTTGAGGTGATTGACACTTTGGTATTTTTTGCTGCCAACCTTGCTTTCCAAAATACTCCAGACACAATAGTCCAATGCATTAGTATCCGGAGATTTTGGTGGCCATTGTGCGCTGGAAATGAAGCGAGGAACCTCATTTTGTAACCATTCATGGGTGGCGCGTGGCGAGTGCGATGGTGCTGAGTCCTGTTGGAATGTCCAAGGTCTGCGGCCAAAATTTTTGCGTGCCCAAGGCTTGAATACACCCTCCAGCATATTTTCGCGATAATATTCGGCATTTATTCTAATGCCACGGTCGATTAATACGAGCGGAGAACGACCATCGGCTGTTATGACGGCTCACACCATCACAATGGCCGGCGCTTGAGGCGCTTGTGGTGGCCAACCGAAGGTGCAAAATTTAGATATAGCTCCCGTATATGTCATCGTCCGATTTGGGTTTTATTGTGCACCAAACGTGTAAAATCAGTCCGAATAGTATGGTATTTTGCACATACAACCAAATTAGGTCTGAAACTAAGTATGCTAAACTTTATCGAGATCGGTTCAGATATGAATATAGCTCCCATATATAACTTCGTCCGATTTACCTTTTATTGTGCACCAAACGTCTAATATTTGACCAAATGGGATGGAATTTGGCACTTGCGACCGAATTGAGTCTAGAAGCTAGTATGTTAAATTTGGTGAAGACTGGTTCAGATATAGCTATAGCTCCCATATATATTGTTCACCCGATTTGTTATATTTGTTACCCACAGCCATAATATGCACTCCGTAACAACGATATTCAGGGAAATATATCAAATACAGCTCAGAAATATCTTTGCCAAATTTTATCGAGATCGGTTCCGATTTGGATGTAGCTCCCATATATATCTTTATCCGATTTCAAATTAATTGTGCACCTAATGAGCAATACAAGTCCGAATTTAAAAGATGCAAATGCTTCGGCATATTTAATCCTTTGAACTTTAAATTAAAATTATAATCGTAGCGTGTATGGTGAAATTCTCCCGGAGCTCTACTAAATTAGCAAAGTGGTGTAGGGTATCAAACAGTCTACCCCGCCCGACTTTAAGATTTTCTTTACTGGTTTGAGTCTATTTTCTTTCTCTTGCGGTGTAAGTTCTTGTACTTTTTTGGAATTTCAATGACTTTACCCCGCTTCTCGCTTGAATTCCATCACGAATATTTTTTTTCTGGAAAATTCTCACCAATTTGCTGTTGTACGCTTGTAAACGATATAACGACCTGTCACTGGAATAAGTTTTACAGCTGTCGGACGTGTGGCTTAGAAATGACAGCAGTCTTAAGTTGGTTGCAGTTTTTTTCATCTTACCCGGTATATTCGAAAATGTGTATACACGATTTTTTCGAATTATTGGGAAACTTTTATAATCTTGAGCCTAGTTTCTTCTTGTTGTTGTTCCAAAAAAACTACGGTATCCTAAAAAAAAGCCCAATCTGTTCTTTTGAGACTAGTATTTAGAAAACATGTAAAATAGTAGCAAAAATTCGAATATATATATTTTTTTTTAATATAAAACGAAGGTTTTTAATTTTTTTATTGAAAATCGTCTAATTGAAAGTTTCGTTAAGCGCTATGTTGTGTGGAAAATCATGGGCTCGGATATGTACATACATATATGCATAGGGATCTCAAATAAAACATGTGTTGTCCATTGCGCGTATATAACTCATGTGGCTGTGTCAATAACGAATGTATATAAAATGTAAAATTTATGTTGGTGTAACATCCTCTGGTCAAGACTTCTTTCGCGATGTGTGCTTGCATTATTTGCTTACATCACTTCTATATAAATGTATATTCTCTTATAGAGCACAGAAAAATTGTACATAAAAGTTGTGGAATTGGAGCCAAAGATAACAACTTTAGGTGCTAATCTCGATGAATCCTTAAGGCTACAGAACGATCACGATGAGACTCTTAGAAATGTACAGGTAAGTTGGCCGCTGTCATTATCCATGAAAATATAAAATTGTATTTTTATTTGTTTGTATTCAGAACCTACCCGGTCCCATGGATGAGTTTGTTCACAAAGCTGATAAATTGCTCGCCAGCAAACGTATTAGCGCCGATCTAGTCAATGCCATGGCCGATACTTTGAACATTATCTGGGCAGATATTCTCCACCTGATGCAAGACCGTCAAAATATTTTGCATTTATGTACACAATTCCAGGACAAAATGGCCCAGTGCCAGAGGCGTATGGACTCGTTGGAGGTGGCGTGTATTGACACCATGATACCCATCGAGGTTACGGCTGTTCAAGAATTCCTCAGTAAATTCAAACAACTTCGTATCGATATGTTGACCGCCGTCATGGCAGCCCTTAAGGATGGCAACGAATTGTTGGCTCAATTGCAAGAATTGGAAAATTTGGAAACATTAGACACACGGCCGGAGCACATCAAACGTGATGCAGCACGGGCGGTACATCAAGTCCAACAATGGCTCGAGGCTTTACATGATCGTCGCAATACTTTGGAAATTGCTTGGCAAACGAGGAAAACACAGCTTGAACAGTGTTTGGCATTGGCCATGTTGGGTCGGGAACTAATCGAAGTGGAAGCCTCCTTGCAACGTCAAAAGGATGAAATCTCTACTCTATTCAGTTTGGGTGAATGTGAACATACCGCCAATTTGGCCCTGCAGAATTACAAGGAATGGAAACAGCAGGCAATGCAGTTGCGAGATCGTGCTCTCAAAATTACCCGGGCCAAGGAGAAACTACAGTCCTCGGGCACCTTTACAGGTGATGAGGCATGTGCAAGGGCCTACAATGTGTTGAGTGCGTGTTCAGAGCATTTTGATTTAATAGATCAGCGTGAGCATTGGTTACACCAATCGCGTGATTTTTTCTCGAAGGCTGATAACACACTGAAGGTATTGGAGAAACTCGAAGTGGAATTATCAAATGTTAAACTGCCACCCAACACACCCGAAAGTTATGCAATGTATGCCAAGGTGGCCAGGGATGTGGCAAAATTCACCGAGGAGCCTCTGCGTCTAGGCTATAGCATTTTGGACGATGTGGGTCGCACACAGCCCGAAACTCAAGGCACCAAACGTGTACTGGATGAAATTGAGAATCGTAAGGCCTATATCGAGGGTATTTGTGCCAACAGCAATGAGGAACAACAACGGGTCAATCAGGCACTCAAGGAATTCCTTGCCCAATACAATGACCTGCTGCAATGGCTTATGTCCTCTGGGCAACAATACTTACAGCAAAACATACACATGGGCAAGACTTTGGAGCAAAGTAAACAATTTCTGCTGCAGCATCATGAACTAATGCAGGATTTGGAGGTAAATTAAAAGGATAGCACAAAAAAATATTTTTTATTATTAATATTTTTTGTCCTTAGATCAAAGGTGAACTCATAAATCTCCTTTTGGAATCAATAAAAACCCATTTGGAATCTTTGAGTGCCCAGCAACGCTACGATGTGGATTCCAAGGCGGAATCATTGCACAAACATTGGATAGAATTGAAAGATTTGGTACTGAAACGTGTTGACTGCGTTTCGGTCCTCATCGAATTCTTCGAAAAAGCCAATGAATTTGGCAGCCAAATGGACAATTTGAAACGTCAGCTGGCATTGACGCCCAACGAGGGAAAATTACAATTCCTTCAGGAAACATGGAAAAATATGCAATCCGATTTTGGAGATTTAAATAATTTGGCTTCAAGATTCCTAAACCTGAAGGTAAGTATTCGTATTTAGTAAATACACAAAATTAAATTGCACAAACTGCAAACATATTGGAATTCTCAATATTTAAAGTGCATGATGGCATGATTAACAATTTTCTTTTTTCAAAATTTCCCAACATTTGACTTTTTTATTAACATGTTCGTAAAGCAAAATCCAAAGAATCTAAATTCTATGTAACATCTATAGAAATGAATAGATTGGCATTAGATTGATTGAGTACTGGTTCTAAGTATTTCGCAAGCAATTAGCTTTGGTACCTAGCTCAATCATAGACAAATTAGGTATAGACTAAAAAGTTGTCTCATCTGTTATCTCAGAAAAAAGTGCTTCAATAGATGTCGTTCATGCTTTGAGAGAGGTTCAGTAGACTCACACAATTCTCTCACTATACAAAATAATGAATATATTTATGATTCTTTATTATTTATCAATTAAAAACGAAACAGTGACTTTGTTTATTTTTACATAATCCAAATATGTCGTGAAATATGAAAATATAGAACTTAAATAGCAGAAAAATGAATAAATCGTTTTCGAAGTCGAGTGACTTCACTAGCCCTGAGTGACTTGACTGGCCCAAGATCAATCATAGTGACATCTACCGCAAGGGGTAAATTTTAAAACTTTTTAGTCTATACCTTCATTTGTCTATGATACCACTTTTATTATTCTCTGAGTCTAAATTGTGGTGGTTTTCATAATCCACAAAATTTTATCACCCATTCTTTTACATATCATACCCATAATTATTACATATTAACGCCTAAAAATATGCTATATTGCTGTTGCATTTGAAATTTTAAAAATTTAAATGCACATTCAGGCGAACTTTTGTGCTTCCCATTCAGTTTAATGTTTATGTTAATTGATGCTGTTAAACTTTTCAAAAAACCATAAAGTGGGTGAGACCGTTGTATGGGGCCCATAGCGAAACGGAAACCTCCATAGACAATTTTATACTTCTACCGAATCTAAAAAATCGTCTTAAATAGCAAATTTGAAACAATTTCGTGGGTAAATGTGATAGGATTATCAAAATACCGGGTATCGGTGAGTATCGTTATATGTGCGCTATAGGGGAACGTGGACCTAAATTTTCAAAGTTCTGCCAACGGAGCTAGAACCAATTATGCCCTATAAATACCAATTTTTAGACAAATTCGTGGAGAAATATTGCAATAATCATCAAAATACTAAATATCCGGAGGTACTATTAGTGGGGGCCATAAGACCCAGAAATACAAATTTTTAGACAAATCCGTAGAAAACCAGTAAAGAAAGTCTTAAAGTCGGACGGGGCCGACTTTATGATACCCTACACCACTTTTCTAATTTAGTAGACCTGCGCATAACAATTAAAAGTTTTTATGGGAGAATTCAATCATACACGTTATGACTATAATTATAATTTAAAGTTCAAAGGACTAAATATGCCGATGCATTTGTATCTTTTAAATTCGGACTTGTATTGCTCATTTAGTGCACAATTAATTTGAAATCGGATAAAAATATATATGGGAGCTTTATCCAAATCTGAACCGATCTCGATAAAACTTAGCAAAGATATTTCTGAGATGTATTTGATATATTTCCCTGAATATCGTTGTTACGGAGTGCATATTACGGCTGTGGGTAACAAATATGACAAATCGGATGAACAGTATATATGGGAGCTACAGCTATATCTGATCCGATCTTCACCATATTTGACATAATAGCTTCTAGACTCAATTCGGTCGAAAATGCCAAATTTCATCCAATTTGGGCAAATATCAGACGTTTGGTGCACAATCGAAGGTAAATCGGACGAAGCTATGTATGGGAGCTATATCCAAATCTGAACCGATCTCGATAAAATTTAGCAAATGTATTTCTGAGCTGTATTTGGTATATTTACCCAAATATTGTTGTCACAGAGTGCATATTACGGCTGCGGAGGACAAAAATTACAAATTGGATGAACAATATATATGGGAGCTATAGCTATATGTGAACCGATTTCCATCAAATTTGGCACACTTATTTTCAGGTTCAATCTGATCGTACATGCAAAATTCCATACTATTCGGATTGATATTACATGTTTGGTGCACAATAAAAAGCAAATCGGACGAAGATTTATATGGGAGCTATATCTAAATTTTGACCGATTATCTCCAATTTCAATAGGGTTCGTCCTTGGGCCAAACAAATGATCTGTGCAAAATTTCATCTGGATAGGGCAATAAATGCGAACTGTACTTTGTTTACAAAAATACATGGACAGACGGACAGACGGACAGACGGACGGACGGACATGCATAAATCGACTCAGAATGTGATTCTATGCAGATCATCAAAAGGAACTATGGGTCTATCTCGTTTCCTTTTGCCTGTTACAAACAAATGCACAAAGACATAATACCCTGACCACCTTGTGGTGTAGGGTATAAAAATGCCGAATATCGGGAGGTACACTTACACAACAGACATATGGGCATCGTTAAATCGACTTAGATTTTTATGCAGATTATGAATATTTATACTTTATGGGGTCTACGACGAATATACAGGGATGTTACAATAATTACAAACTCTACGATCATTTATTTATTTATTTAATATTTCTTTGAAAAAAAATGCAATACAGGAAAATAACTATCCATAAATTCAGAATATTCTCTTGAAAATCTTCAGACATATTATTAAAAAAAATCTTGAAATAACATTTTACTTATTTCTTTGGTAGTCATTAAAAAAACCTATTCCCTTGAAAGGTTGGACACATTAATGAAAAATTAAAAGTCGGTCGGCCCAATTTTTTGATAACCTACACCACTATTTCCATTTAGATATCCGTGACAAATAAACTTTTATATTGGGAATTTATGTGAATTAGATTATATCAAACTATGATCGTTGTTGAATGCGTATTATGTCTTTAGATCAGTTATTATTTGAAATCGAAAGGAGCTAATATTTGGGAGGTATGTGCAATTCTGACTTTGGGAACACTTAAATTAAAACATACATATCGGAGCTATGGCAGAACTAATTTTCACCAAAATCCATTCTAATTGAGCTGATATTACAGTTTTGGCGAAACGTAAAATCGAATCAAGATATATAAGGGATCTATATCCAAATCGAAACCGATCTGAATAACATATAGCAGACGTTTTTACATGCTGTCTGATGGCAAATATCTTTTGTGACTTAAATACAAAATCGAATAAAAAACAAGTAAGCAAAGGCTATAGCCGTGCGCGGCCGACCATTTGATACCCTACAACACTACAATATATTAGAAGACCCTTTATGTCCAAATCCATTTTGGTAGATTTCGCTTTTCAAATTATGTCAGGGAGCACTGCATTTTGACCAGTGACATTTACCCAATATACATATGTGGTCAATTTTACAGCTAAATATAATCCAATGGTCATCCAAAATGCTAGAATTCTTCCCTGCCCTTAACTCTCTTCTCAGGCGTGTCGATTGGCTTCAATTGTGTGATCATGATTTTTTTCTGTTTTTGGTTCATTTGAACCCCTAAATATTTTGCAATCATCTCCAAATGGCTATATGCGTCAAAGAAAACAGCGTAAAAAGCCTGAAGTTCACCTTTTTGTGCATTTTGGATATCGCGTGTAAGTTATTTTTAGCGTTTTGGTAGAATGGAAATGTTGGTTTTTTCACACAAAAGTAGTGTTCCATTCAACCCGCTGTCCTTAACTCTAACTTTATGCGAGATTTCGTGTCCTTTAGTTTCTATTAGTGACCTTTATAACCGCTGAAAAATCAGGAAGATTTTTGTTGAATATATTGCGGACATCTTTGAAAACAATAGGCCTAGCCCTTCTGAGCCCAACCCTACGATTGTGAAAATTTTCGTGAGGATCGGACGATAATTACAATCTGTATATAATAACCCCAACCTGGGTTGTAAGTTGAAAAAAATTGCAAAATGTGTACTTCAATATTATAAGTCAAACTAGCTGAACCCGGTGCGCTTCGCTACCCCTTTTGATTTTATATGCATTCAAAATTTTATTTACGAATATATGTTGGATAAAGAAAAACCAATTTAAAAATTAAAAAAAATATTGCACTAATTTAATGCGTTAATAAACAAAATCATTACAAAAGCAGTAACATGACATGCATACACGAAGGGTTTGTCCTTTGGATTTATTTATTTCATAGCAAATACCAAGCGTGCAGGAAACTGCAATTTTTTTAAGTAGAGTGGCATTTCTATTGCAAGTAGTGAATTCGAGATAGCAACATACTTCGCCGTAATAAGCGTATTTCAAATAAATTGTTGTGTTGTTTTTTAGTGTTAGCCTAAGGCGTTGTGGGTCAATGGTTCTTATTAAAATCATATCCCAATCTGATCCGATTTAAATATAATTTAAAAAAAATTACTTTTACACCAAACTGCGCCACACCTTTCATATTTAATTGAAATTGGTGCGTCAAATATGTGAAATCGGCCGAGAATATATATATGGGAGCTATATCCAAATCTTAACTAATTTCCAATTAATTTATCACATTTATTATTATAACAAAATTCCGCCACACATTCTGAATTTCATTGGAATCGGTCATATATATCGTGTTTGGTGCATAATATGTATGAAATCGGCCGAAATATATATGTTAGCTATATCCAAACCTCAACTGATTTCAATATAATTTGGCAATTTTTGCTGGTGCCAGATTTTGTCTCTCTCGCTTTGGGTGCATCAAATATGTGAAATCGGCTGAGTATATATATGGAGCTATAATCACATCTGAGCGTATTTGAATATAATTTGTCAAATGTGCATCAAATAAGTGAAATCGGCGGATAATATATATGGGAGCTATATCCAAATCTGAACCGATTTTAATATAATTTGACAAATGTATATTTGTCTTAATTTCCGCTACACATTTCAAATTTCATTGAAATTAGAGATACATAGCGTGTTTGGTGCATCAAATACATGAAATCGGTCGAAAAT